TTCTGGAAAATATTAGCGTTTCGTGTTCGTTTTGACTTCGTGTGGACGGGGCCTTAAGCTTGACTAATGTTCAGTCCTTTTTTTGCTGCTTTTTTGTTCTTTTTGATTTGAATTTGGGAAATGTAACACGAAGAAGAAGCCATTTCTAAGAGCTACTACTATCTGGCAACCCATGAGCTCTTTCTCACTATAGCTATTGGTGCTAAAGCCTTTTGTGCCAATATTTGTATCATAACCGCAAGTAAATATTTCTATTTTTCTTGACTTGACAAAATGTATGAAAAACAACTATTGACTTACAGGTTTTTTTTTGGTCAGTAAAATCAACATTTTTATTCTGCATCACTGTGGACTGCTGCGAATGTCATATTGTTGAAACATTAATAGTATTGATGGAAAAGTTTTAGCTATGGTTCGGAAATGGGTTGACTGTCCCTAACTGCACCATTGCAAGTGAGGAAAGGGAGCTACAGGGAGCGGCTGGTCGAAGACTGACTTCCGTAATGGGATCGACAGTGAGCTAGGTGCTGCTCACTCCACAGAGCAGGAATATCCAATATTCAACTTCCAACTAACTTCAGTCGGGCTACGTTGTCCAAGTTTTGCAACACCGCTGGGTCGGGATTTTTGTCGTAGTTTGGTCCCCACAGTATTATCCTCTCAAAATTGTCGAAGTTCTTTTGGCATTCCATAGCTTAGCCTTCGCTACAGGTTTTCCAGGAGGAAAGAAATCCAAGCATCGAGCACAGTCACAGTTTCTGGGGGAACAAGGGAATGGCCAACAGTTGTGAAGCTTTGCCAGTGTTGTTATATCAAAGTTTTATATTTTTAGGTATTATATTATTAAATCTTTCATTAATTTCTGTATGTATTTTTAATTATGGCAAGATTAGTCCTCCATATTTTCCGTATAATAGTTTTTTGTAATACACCCGACTGAATTCACGTTCAGCAATACAGCAAAAGAATAAGATTTTTATGCAAAAAGCACAGGCGTGGGCTATAAGCTTCATTATATGAAATGATGCTGTAGATTTTTTCTCTCGTTCAAATTTTAAGAAGCCATCAGTCTCCTACCGCCATGATTTATTGTATCTCCATCCTTAAAAAGAAAAGATTTCGATTTGTTTTTGAGTCTTTTGTTCCTAGTCCGTAGTATAAAAGGTACGTCAGCCTTGAAGAGGAAAAAATACTGGAAAGTTAAAGGCGTAGTCCTCCTATGTTATCCTAAAGTGACTGATGAGATTTGGCAACAAGTGGAAGAATTTAAATAACTCTCCTCATCAGTGTCTTTTCATTTCTCTTCACTCTTCTTTTAAGTTTTCCCCTACAATAAAAACCAAACAGGTTGTAATTACATTATCATTTTCTGTCCACAGCTGTCAGCGTCCATTAAAAAGCTGTGTCATGAGTATCTATCAGTGGTTCCAGTCAGCTTCATGTCTAACAGCAAAGGCTGAGCGATCTGATTGAAACTAAAGAC